AGAGAAGAGAAGAGAAGAGAAGAGAAGAGAAGAGAAGAGAAGAGAAGAGAAGAGAAGAGAAGAGAAGAGAAGAGAAGAGAAGAGAAGAAAGAGAAGAGAAGAGAAGAGAAAGAGAAGAGGCCGAGAGGACTCTCTAACTCCACCCATTGAATCTAGGACTAGACCTCAGGGGCCTGTGCAATTCTGCTCTCGCTCCTAGAATTTTCCAGCTGCTCTATGAAAAGTTGAACCTGGGACTAAAAAAACTGTAGTTGTTTCAAACATTCTCCATAAGGCCACCCTAAACCAGCCAGACCAAGTGGCCCACCAATCTAATGCAGGCATGGGAGTATAGCTAGAATCAGGCAAACTCAGCCCAGATTACCCAGAGAATTCCAGTCCAGATCACCAAACTGGAAAGCCACACAACAAAAAAAGTTGGTTTAATTACTAAGCTTTGGGGTGGCCATTTGTGCAGCAAAAGTTCATCATTACCATCTGCAGAACCCACAAAATCATAAAAAGAACAATAGCCCTTGCAAAGCCACAAATTTGAATGACAGAGCTGCATTGGACCCCCTTGGGTATTTTTCCTGCTGGTCAACACTCTCTACAGGTGACATCAACTGGCTGTCAAGTGACTGTCTCTCCCATCTACTAGGTGCACCCACCTTCACAACAGTGATCTGAGTGTTGAAAGTTACTTCCACAAGACTCCCAACTCCTGGTACCAAGTGCCCAAACATTAAAACCACTAACACAACAGAGTGGAAAAGGAGGATGATCTGGATGGTTCAAATAAGGCCTCATGGCACATCATCTGCCTTTCTTGGCCTTAAAGACAAAACCGTTGTTCGGCATTCATTTTCAGCTTGGCCTAACCTCCCTCCAGCCCCATCTCCAGCTTCAGCTGCCAAACTCCATATGTCTTTGGCATGCCAAGTATCTCGGCTGTCTTTGGAAGAGCCAAACTTTTGCATGGCTGTCTGGAAAAGTGCTGTTCCTTCTTGAAATACTTTTCCTTGCTTCTGTCCTTTTCAGATAAACTCCTATGCATCCTTTCAAACCTGAAATGTTCCACCTTTGAGAAACAGGACTGATTTCCCCTAGGATCAGTTAATTAGTACCTCCAGTATAAGAAACACCATACTGCATTTTAACTACCTGTTCATATGTCTACATACAGAAATTATTTACAGTTAGCATCAAAGGATGGTGCATGGTTTTTAGAAGATTGGATAATTGCGTTTCGTTAGCTGGAGTACCCCATGTGTATTCACCCTTGCACTCGTGGCCACTTGGAAGAAGCCACTTGGAAGTTTCTGGGTGGTGGGGGAAAGCCATCCTGAGATGACAATCACATGGTGTGTGGACAAGGCTCTGCTGCTACTATCTGACTGTCACCCGAGGTGAGCACCCCCTTTTCCTGAATGTCACTAAGTTGTTAAGATGAAGAGACGAGGCATAGCAGGAGAGGGCTGATTACACTGACCCTTTTCGTGTGCCCTTAGCAGTCAAGCTTCGGGACAAGAGGGGACAGTCAACCAAACGGCAACTGAGCTATCTGTCATCCTTGTCAGAAAGTCAGGTGGGCCAGGCACGGTGGCACACACCTGTAATCCCAGCACATGAGAGATCAAGGCAGGAGGATTGCCAGTTTGATTCCAGCCTCAGCTACACAGTGAGAAACTGTCAAATAAAACAAAAATCAGAGAGTTGAATGACAGGCTGTGGTTGAAGGGAGGCTGAGGCAGAGGATCAGCCCTGAGGAGGGGCTGCTAACTAGCAGAGCCAGAGAATAACTGCACTGCTCAAAAGACTCGATATTTACATATTTAAATTGTGCCATAAGTAAGATGTCATTTATATATAATGCTTATCTTGGAGGGAGGGACTTTTCTGAGACGAGGTTTCGTGTAGCCCAAGCTGGTCTCAAACTCAAAATGGAGCCAAGAATGGCCTTGAACTCCTGGGGAGGTGGAGTTACAGGTGTATGACACCATGCCTGACTTCTGCAGTGCTGAGGATTAAATCCAGGGTGTCATGCATGCTGGGGAAACACTCTACCAACTGAACTACACGAGGGATGTGGATGTAGCCTTGGCCTTCCTAATCTACATAGACCAGGCTGGTCTTGAACTTGACAGCAATTCTATGGCCACTGCCTCCCAAGTGCTAGGACTACAGGTGTGCATCAGCAAGCCCACCTATTTTACTGTTTATTTCACAACCAGAAACATCATTCTTGAGACACAGGAGACCATGACATAAAGACCACCGAGGAGGTGGGGCTTCTGTTTCCACAATGAGAAAGGCAACAGTCTCCCTGTGGCACCTGGTGGGTGGGAGAACAACTCTGGGGGCCAAGGTCACGCCTTCCATCTGTTAAGAGAGTGAAAACTGAGCCGGACAGGGCCATGATGCAAGTCTGTAATTCTAGCACTTGGGAGACTGAGGCAGGGGAATCTCAAGTTCAAGACAACACTAGGCTACACAGAGTTCCAGGATCACCTGTCTCCGAAACTAAATAAATTCATGTCTTGTCCCTAGGAGGTGTGAAGGAGGTGTGATACAAATTGACATGTACTTAGCACTGCTTTCAGTACTGGCACCATACATATGGTCTCTCATTCAATCATCAATCATCTCTTAAGAATAGGCCTTATCTCCATTTTATTGTGGAGACTAAGGCTCCAAGAAGTTAAATTAGAAGAGCCTGTGGTGACCTGAGTCTGTTTACCTTTAAAACTGCATCCTTGGGCCAGGGAGATGACTGAGTAGAGCACCTCCACACATGCACCAGGGCCTTGTTCCCATTCCCTGAACTCACGGGACACCGGCTATGGCCATGAAAGCACCAGGGCCTT